GGCTTTGGCATTGCTGGGATTCATTGGGTTCATGGAAGTTGGCTCACGTTGTGCCAAGCAAGACTGGGTATGAAGCGGCTATGAAGTTTGAAGTGATATCCATGTTGAAGTCCCTTCATCTTCAGGCTGAGAGGTTTGCCCTTGCTATCCCGGAGTCTTCCAGACGAGCCGCCTCGAGTTCCTAATATAAAAAACCGCTATGCCCACGCTGGTAATGTACGTCGTAGCCGTTCCAGGCAGGCGTGGACAGTGCTACGCGAAGAGGACCAGAGGCGACCAAGGGTATTGTACAGGTTTTTGCTGAGCCCAGCGCAAGACATTCAGGAGTCGGGAGGCACGAGGCTCGAAGCCGTAAAGGCCCGTAAGCACTGAACTGAATCGGAGATCATCGGAGGCTGTCGAGTGCTGCCTCCTCGCACACGCAAGCAAAGCTGTGCCGGACTCATTTGCTTGACAATGCCGGTAAAATCGATGCCAGAGGTAGGTTAGCATGTAGTGTTGCCTGGTATTTTACCAGTGGTCATCTACCTCTTATTAGGTTTACATTTTTGAGTTCATGATGCTTGTTGAGGGATGGTCAAGCACAGACACACAGTTCCCGTGGCCAGCAGTAGTCCCATGTCTGACGTGTATCAAAGTGTGGTGCAATATGCCGAACTTCCCAAACGAGTTCGATTGGGAGGTCACAGGTCCTGCTCACCAGTAGCTTGACCCCAGACCGATGTACCCAGGGCTCCTTGTTGCTGTAAGCTGAGCGTCCTTTTAAACATGCAGAAATGTTTCCGAACATGATAGCATTCTGTACAGCGCTTGGGTAAGTATTCCGTATCACATGTTCGGTATGCAATGGCAGCAATAGCAAAATAGTGTGGCAGATTGTAGCATATCACGTGTTGACTCCTCAAAGCCCAAGATTAGAGACTCATAGACGCTAGATAGTCGGAGCCTCGTTATATGTGCCTACCCTATAAAGCTCTATGAAGAACCCTAAGCCCTAAACTCCGAACCCTAAATCCTAAACCCTAAGCCCTCAACCCTCGACCCTACACCTTATCAGCCGGATTCGCAAAACAAACTCCAGGCCCGAGCACGAGCCACAGAACTTGTCGATTGCTGCCTGAACCTCTGGAGCTTTAGGCCCGAGTTCAGGGTTTAGGGCTTGGGGTTTAGGGCTTAGGGATTAGCGCCGAGCGTTTAGGGTTTAGGTCTCAGGGTTAAGGGTTTAGGACTTGGGGTTCAGGGTTTAGGGCTTATGGCTTAGAGAGTCGTCTCAACATGTGTAATGCCGATGCTTTTGGCAATGAGAATCGGGGGATTCGGGTTGTCTCATAGTAGATCCTGCGGACCAGGTTTCGGTTTCATCAACAACTTGGCGGTTTGGATATGTTTAGGGCGTCTTGGGGTTCAGGCATTTCGCGGTTGAGGGTTAGTTTGTGGCTGCTTTCGGGTTTAGGGGATTCAGGATTCAGGGTTTGCCTCAGGATTTGTGCGCGGGAGGGTTTCAAGGTGCCGGTGCCTCGTCCTCGCGACCCTTCGGAAGGGTTTCAAGATTAACAAAGCATGTAAACCCTAAAATCTAAACCCGCTGTCGGGAAGAGTTTGTGGTGTGTAGAGAGTCTTACGAGTCTTACTGTTACCAATACTATTTGGGGGTTCCTCCTTATAAGTTGCAGTATTCATTTACGCCCAAACCCTGCGCTGCCTGGAGGCATTAGGGACGAAGCGCCCCTGTCAGCTCTTTTGGTCGAAAGCTGCAGCCTCAGTTGCGAGGCCCCTTGATGCTTCATTCGATCGTCGGGGTCGACGCTACACTCCGCCCACCTTGCAAGAGTGTTCATGTGCCCGGATGCGTGTGAATGCCGATTAGAAGAGGGATATGTGCTCCTGTGCCTTCGCCACGTCGTTGCTCATGTGACTCCATGTGACTCAGCTACCTTCCGGGTTGAAAAAGGCTTCGGAAACATCACGTGCATTTGCTCACGCGGCCCTGAACCGTCTGCAGCAGAGCTCTCAAGCCTCGCACTGCCGGAATTCGGAGTGCCAGATCTGAGCTGTCTTGCTTTGGAATTAGCACAGTCGTCAGGACAGACGCTTCTGGTTACAGCAATCTACATGTATATATTGTATATGTACGTAGAATAATAGGTTTTTGTTTGTTCTCTGTCTCTCTCTCGCTGTTTCTCTGTGTCTGTATAATTATGTATACATACAAGATCTACTAATTATCCAACTTCCTGCAAAACTGGCTTGCACTCTCCGTTCCTTTACGACCAAAGCTGTTTTCTCCTTCACAGTGGGACTACGAGGCCTCGCGAGAGTGGAGGAGCTTGCAGTACAAGACCTCGTGAACACAGGCGCGAGATCTGTTCAAATCTTGGTCAGCTCACACACCAGTGCAGGGTTTACTGTCCTCATACTTGCAGACCGCTGAACTCACTAGGCTCGACAGCTGTACCCACTTTGCCTGGTATGAAGAAACTCGTGTTACAATCCCTGAGCTTTGTTCCAGCCAGTTTGCCCTTCGTGTTATCAATAATTAGCGATAGATAAATAAATAAATAAATAAATAGATAAATATAAATGGTACCCCCCCCAGGACCTACCTC